AGGTCCTTTTCTGCCGGGAGCTTTCCAGCCACTCGTCCTCCAGCCTGTAGCACTGCAGGACCCAGCACTTGGCCTTGTTAAACCTCATAGCATTGGCCTCAGCCCATTGAGCCAGCCTGTGTGATGATAATTAGTACTTCATTTGCTAGAAGTTGATGCACGTAATATTTTGGAGGAATGACATCTGGGAAACCTTTTTTCAGCTTACTGTGTGAAAGTTGTATGATGTTCTACATTGTATTCCTCTATCAGATATAGACTATAATATATAATACAATGCCAAGCATTTGCACATATCCCTGTGGAAGTTGCTCTCTGTGTCAAAATGCCACACATAACATTTAAACTGACTAGGGGAGCACAATCTGAAGTGCATTTATTTATCCAACTAAAATTATAATAAGGAATTTGGTGGTGGTTGTATGCTATTCTCAAGTATTTTTATTTTTAATTTCCTCTGAGACAAAAATAGTATTTTTTAAAAAAGCTTGTTTCTAGTCATGCACTTCAACAAATGGCTCATATGTAGAAGCTACTTTTTGACATGCTTCGTTCGAATTAGTAATGCAGAGGAGTCATCTTGTGGACCAATGTTATATTTAGAGCAGCCCAAAATGTATGAGCCTGACTTTATCACATTAGACCATCAAAGTGTATAGTGTACAACAGAGGAAGTAGCTAGCTCTGGCCAAGTCAGCATACTTTATTTAAAAAATAATAAATTAGAGTAATGAATATATTCATTTGCATGATGATATTGGGGATTTTGGCCTCTTTTTTACTGTGTTATGGTATATTGCCCTTGGTTGACTGTTCTTGTTTGGTGGCACCAATTATGACTACCTATATTCCCATAGTTAATCCTTTGAATGTGTTTTGGGTTTTTTAGGTGGATAAGGTGATGATAAATGGGCTAATGGCTGACTTAACAGCCAAGGTTTTCACCTGTGCAGCAGTGGAGTTGCCCTTAGTGAGAGACTGACCCAATAGGCTTTATCTGAGTATTGGGGGTGGAAGATACAACAATTAATTGAGCAAATTAAGCAATCTGGCTTCAAAACTTTAAAAGCTGACCAGAGGCTTTCAGTCGTATAAGCTGTGATTAAAAGTATTAATGGAGTATTCAGAATATGTTATATACCAGTTCATCTGAATGGGATGAAAAATAAGAAATAGCTATAGATTCAACTGCTTTTAAATTTCTGATGGAGAGAGATGAAGTAGTGTACTTTGTGTAATTATATATGAAAGCTCCAGAAATAACGTTGTTAGAAATGGCAATTTACTTACCTGTCTAGGGGAAAAAGAAAACATGCATGCATAGTTTTTGAAACTCTATTTTGCTTGGCCAAAAATGTACTTGATCAACCAATCCAAATTGCATTTAAGCAGCTTGTCATCTAGCCAAGTGTCAGGCATAAACCGGGATAATGATAGTAAGATAATTAAAAGCATTTGGAAAACTGTTTGATTTTTCCTCTGTGTTCAGGTAATGTGCCATTCATAGCTGTGGCATGGGGGAGGTGGTCTGCTGGGCAGTGCAATGAGGATTGCTCCTCAAATCTTAGCCTTTACAGAAACACCAGAAAGCAGAGAATGGTTAGAACAACTGGTCTTCAAATTATGATTCCCCCCTGCCATTTATATATTTAAATTCCACCCCCCACATTTTCTTTTGTTAGGACACAAAGGCACAAGGATTTTTTGTTGACTCTTTGGTGATTTTCTGTTAGTTTCCCATGTTTTACTTGTTTTTTTTTGCTTTTATTAAGTACGCCTACGGATTTTTGAGTCGTTAGTAATACGTGTAGATATATTAACTGTCTTCACTTTATCTGAAATCTGACCTAAGGCAAATCTTGCAGCAGCAGTTTTTGCTTCTTTACTGTTAATAACAATGCTGTTATCTCTTATTTACAAAACTCTTTGTTTTCACCCGTGTCTGCATTCCTGCGGAGCTGTGGACTTTCGTTCTGCTTCGGTCTCTTTACATTAAGTTGAATATGATCTGTTATATTACTGGTTTTCCTGTAGAAGTTGCTGCTAGGTTTATAATAAAACCTCTTGATTACTCCCCCTTTTTGAAGCTGAATGCTGTTAGAAAATAATCGAGGCTTAAGAACATCAGCCCTCTGGAGTCTTGATCTGGCATGGGGGGAGCTGCAGAGGGAGAACAGCTACGTGCTTGACTGCCATATAGCGTACTGCCTAAAAAGATAATTATTTGAGTTTTCTGAATATGATAGTATTTGAACTTAAAGTTGTCATTTTTTAAATAATTTTTTTTATCTTGGGTCTTTTGTGGGAGAAGTGGGACTACTTTTACTTCGTCTGCTATTAACCACCTTTGTTAAAAGCAATGTTTTATTGCAGTAACACCACCAGTGGTGGTTTTAGTATTACACTTACAGATTTATGTGCATCTTATAACTGTCTTTTGCAGAAGAGTTTTCAAAGGTGAAAATAATTAACAGATGATCAGTAATAGACTTTGTTTTCATTTATGTTCTGTTAAATGTCATTCCCATGTTAATCGCCCAGTTGCAGGAGGACGGAATTTACTCAGTGTGACAGGCAAAGTTGAACTCTTTGGAAATAACTGCTGAAGCAAAACCCTCTTCACACTGGTATTGGTGTTGGGGGGAGTGGAGAACAAGGTCCTTACTATCAGTATGTGGTCTCCGGATGCAGCACTCTTGATGTAATGTCATGTTGCAGCTTGAAAAGGGCAGTTGTACTCCCTCACCACCCATCCTGCCAAAATAGATGTGCTGGGGTGGGCAAGGGAGCTGCAACAGAAGGCTTAGAGATGGAGTGTTTTTATTTGGGGGAGTTGTGTGTTCCATGAGATCTTTCTGTTATATTAATTCTTGGACCTTGTATGTCAGCCTGGGTTAACACCAATGCTTGTGTAAAGGGAAGTGATTTGATCCTGCTGTACGGGGAGGTGGATGGTGAAGAGGGTGGGAGCCCGCTGATCCCTTTAAGAACACCCCTGAAGTAATGGTGTTTCTTCTGTCTGCTGCAGTCAGGAAAACACCGTTTGTGTTCTGCCCTATTAATTTTGGCAAGTAAGTTCAGCATGTTGTATGGGCTGAGCAGACTTGGAGGCTGGATGTCTGGCAGTGAGTCAGTGGAGCTGCAGTGTCAAACTCAGGACTAGATTCTGCTGTGCCTCTGTCACCTTGCAGGAATACTTCTGAAAGGCTGAGAGGGAGCCTTGCCTCCCCGTCTCTCCTTAAATCTTGCTCCTTGCTGGTGTGTAGTTGGATATGCGCTCCTCATGCTATATAAGCAGCTGGTTTTTTACCTGCGAGCTCCTGTTGTAGCACGGTAATTCCATGGCTTTAACGAAGTACTGAAGAGCGATGAACTCATACCAGTAGCATACTGCAGTGGTCTGCAAAAGGTGCTCTCGTGGGCGTTCATGAAACTTTGGAAACAGTATTTTCTGTGAAGGTGGTGTGAGATGTATGGACCAGCAAGAAGCTGTGTGGGCTCGTAATAGTCTTCTGGCCCCAAAAGTCTGCGAACCACAGAGCTAAAATCACTTCTCTCCTGAGCTATCTGGAGCTCTTCATGGGTGTCTTCAGGTTTTTGAGTGTTGATTTGTTGGGGAGGGGTGTTAAAAGAAGCAGGCGCTTAACTTTTCCCTGCCAATAAATGCTCATCTCATGAGCTTCACTGAAATGCTAATAGTAATGTGTGCCCTTTATATTTAAATAAGTATATCAAAGTGATCAGGCTTTAGGAAGAGAGGCTGTTACCTATTTCATTAACTTATTTCATGTGTTCTGTTTATTTCAGCTCTTTAGAGAAGTAAGAATAATGAAGATCTTAAATCATCCAAATATAGGTACCTTGTTTCTTTCACATAATTTCCAACTCTGCAGAAATTGTAGCTTTGTCATGTTGAAATTCTTATGGTGTGAGTTTAAAAGACGATTCTGCACTAGGGTGTTCGTTTATTGTAAAGTACCAGTAATAAATACTTTTTCAGAGCTGTGTGTTTAAAAAAAAAAAAAAAAAAAAAGACCAAAAAACAAAAAACCCAATAACAACAACAAAAAAAACAAAATACAAATGAACCCCCCCCCGTTTTGGTCCCTTTGCACAAAACTGTTGTTTTTGTAGATAACTGATAATTTTGCTCCTTTTGACTATAATACTGATTTTGACTGAATTCAGGCTCTCATTAAAAATAAGTATATACCGAAACAAAGTAGTGCTCAAGTTATTGTCCAGGATTATACATGTAAATGAAGTAGTATTGTTGTGGGCCTGTCAGCAAACTGACTGGTAACTCGTTTGTCACCGTGTATGCCAGTACAGTGCATAAAAATGGTTATTACTGATGCAGAAACTCCAGAGATTTGAGCTTGATTTAGTTGATTTTCCCACGTAACAGAAGCGAAGTGTTGTTTCTTGAGGAAAATGTTGTTCTGTGTGAGTTGACCAAATGTGTTACACTATTTTCCATTTAGGAACATCAGATGGAAAAAGCTTCTTTAGAGTCATAGTCTGACATTGTCAAGCAGTAAGCAAATAGATGGTTTGGGTTTTTTTATCTGGCAGAATTTTCTGTGGGGTTAACATAATACTTCTGCAACTACTTAACTGATTAATAAATGGCTTTTTTTTTTCTAGTGAAGCTATTTGAAGTCATTGAAACTGAAAAAACTCTCTATTTAATAATGGAATATGCAAGTGGGGGTAAGTATGTCTCTGCTGTGATGACACATATAAACAAATTGCCAAGTGGTAGAAAGAAAGCACTTGTTTTCTTTAAAGTTTTGCTTTCTTTTTAAGCAAATATTTATGTCATGGTAGTGTAAAATATTAAGCAAAATCTTTCATATTCTTTGGGACTTCTTTGGGCAACATAATTAATTATGAATTGTAAAACCAGCCTCTGAACTTAGTGCAACTTAGTGACGTGTGCTTTGTTTTCACAACTCAGTTTTAATGTGAATCTTTATTTGGCCATCAATTGTTCCTGTCCCTAACAAATGCCAACCTTCTCAGTTTATTGTGTTCAGCTCCCTACCTCTGGTGTCTTATTTTGTGTAAGATATTTGGTAAAAACATGTTCAGAGGAAAGATTTCTGTGTTTCTTTTAACTGTTGTTTTCAAAAGCACATGTACTGCAACTTCTGTTTTTTAGGTGTTGATGACATTCAACACATCTTAATCACAGACCTTTTATTGCCAAGAATTATTAGGCTTAGCTTTATGCCATTTTAGGAGGAACTTAAACATTTATTCCCCATTGTGGGGTGGGGGGGTGGACAGGTGTGCGGGGAGAGCGCGCATCATGCAATGTCAGGTATTTTCACCAGAGCTAGAATTAAGGTATTCAGGCTTAAGTTAATCCTTGCTGGCTAAAACCTAATGGCACTCATTTTGTCAAACTGACCCTTTAGCATCAGCAGCTGGGAATCTCAAATAGTTGAGGCTTTTCTTTAGTTTCAGGAGGGAGATAAAGAGACTTCTTTTCAAAGAAAATCAGCATGAATTCTGACTCTGATGTTAGTTTGTGTGAAGTTTAATGCATTACTTTAGATCAAGTAATGATTCTCTACCTGCCCATGTTTTATTCTATCAGCTCCTTAAATGCTCAGCCAAGATTTGTCTAAAGAGAAACAAAATTGGTAAAATACAGTTAAAATATTGGCTAGTACAGGTGTTTGTGGAGGCATTTCTGTGCTGTTTAACGGTACTAGATTTAAAAGTGAAGTCCTATTGCCATCTAGTGATTAGCTTCTAGGAGGTAGAAGGGCCAGTTCTCTGAAGCCATGATGGTCTTTCTGAGCATAATGGAGATGCATACTGTACTGGTCTAAAAGGCCGTGAGCGGTACCCTTCGCGTGTGCCACGTTGTGCAAGACAAGGATGGCTGTTAATCTTGGTGGCAGGCATCAGTTTCCCATATTTCCTCTTTCTCAAGATAGTGGTCATGCATGATGCTTATGAGCTCCATGGCTGCAGGATGAGATAAACGTTGCTACAGCTGCAACACTTTGCATAAATTGAGGATAATTCTTTCTCTGGTGTCATTTTCCCTGAATTGCAAAGAAGTCTTCAAGTTTGTTCCTTCAAGGTTTTTGAAGAAACAGCTGTGAAATACAGCTGAGAGAGTTATCTGAGTTGAGTGTCAAATGATACACTACAGAGGGAAGTAAGGCTGTTTGGTAGAAAATCCCAACATTCCCTTAGATTGCTCAGTTGTTTCTTTTCCTGCCATATGACTCTGGGAGTTTTATTCTGATTTGGTTCTTGGAGTTGCTTCTTTTCAAAAATAAATGTGAAGTTACTCAGCTCTTTCCTTGTGAGCTTGGCTATCTACGAAACAGTGTTTTCTTGCTCAGTAGAGAATATTTAGGTATTTGATCCGCTTCTAAAATTTTTAAGTTTGCGTATTAGCGAAGGGTTTTTGCAACTGGGTGCTGGTCTGTGTGTGTCATTCTTATGTATGTGACTATTGGTTTTTAGTAAAGAGTATCTCCCATACTCTCACAAACGTGTCAATGTTCATGGACCAGTTGGCCGCCCCTAAAGCTGAAACGTTGTAGTCTGTGTTAGTGTGCTATAAAGTGACTGGGTTGATTAAAGGGGGGAAGAAAAAACAAAACACCACAGATCTTTAGTACAGCTTTAGTAATGTCCTTTAGTTGTCCACAGCCGTACAACACTGGGCTTGTTGAGGAGTAATCCTTCTCAGTGTATCTTACAGATCTGATGGTTGTGTGGTGGATTAGGTCAGTGTGTCCTGCAGTGCTCATTATTGTGACCTTCCTTGTGGGTACTACTTCTAAGCCTAGGTTAAAGCTAAGTTTTCTGATTTTGGTTAGAACACTTTTGTACACATGCACACCAGAAAAATTCTAGTGCTGGTATGGCAATATTTGCAAATATCATCAAATGTTCTCATGTATGAAGCTTGTTTTTGTGGGGAAAAAAAAAAACCCTGTGTGAGAAGGTCTGTGAAGGGGTATGTGTCACCTTTATTAAAAAAAAAAAAAACCAAAACAACAAACCAACAGAAGTGTGCTGCTCAGTTTCTGTCATAATTGGAAGGAAATGAGGGGGTTTGTCTATATCCAGTCATTCATTAAATCTTACTATTTTCTTGCAGAAGAGATGATGGTGTAATGAATTACATAGCAGTTGTGTCGTGTTCTCTTGAGCTAACCTGTAATCATAAACTTGAAGTACAGTCATTCCAGTGAAGCTGCTGTGGGCAACTGCTACAGATGAATCTCTAGATTCTGAAATTGGCATTAATGTATCTCGTTACTGAATTGTAGGGGAAGTGTTTGACTATCTGGTTGCACATGGAAGAATGAAGGAAAAGGAGGCTAGAGCTAAATTTAGACAGGTATGTATAACATTCCTATACATCAGCTTTCCCTGCCTGTTTTTAATGCTGAAATGACTAAAACGGCTGTCCTTTGCGTTTGACCTTTTAGCAGTGTTCAGCATGTTGTGGGCTTGTAGCCCTGAGTGAGGAAAAACCTTGGATTGCAGTAGTACTTCAAGGGGTTAGTAGTCCATTCGGTGCTGCTAGTTTCCTTAGTGCTGTGTGCCAGGGTGTCCAGGAGTGCCAGAACACAGTGACTGCTTGATTTGGAAGTGTATTCTGTTCCAAAATGCATTTCCTCTAGGTTGATTTCATATATCCTTAGTTCAGCTGGTCTGTAACATTTTGGAAGTTATTCAAATGTAACAGGCTACAAACAGGCCAGTTTTAAAACACAGGCAGTGCGTGTAAGAGGGTTCCATTCACATCCATCTGCTTACATGAAAAAAATGCAGTTTAATGGTTGTTCTAAAAAGTCATGGAAAAGTAATTTCTAGGCTTGTTAGTTTAGCTTTCTTTGTGATGGATATACTAGCCCTGCAAAGATGTTGGAATTCCACTGATCTGTAAAAAGCATTTCCGTTCTATAGTAAAGCAGTATTGAACATAACCAAATATTTTTGTCTAACTAATTTAAATCCAAATCTCGGCTTTTGAGGCATCTAGAGTTTAATTTTCAGATGTGACTGGTCTGATATACTTTGTTTTCTGCTCTTGTGCAGAAATTTGTAAATACCTACGTTATTTCCATCCCTTTGGTCACTTAGAGAACCTAGATAAAGTTGTGAAAAGTAACAAATATCAAAATTATGCTCCTGCTTAATGACACTTAAGTAATAAATAGGGACGAGAGTGTTTTATTGAATGATACGTAGGAGTTTTAAACTTGTGAATTGTGGCAATGACATGACAGTAAGTTTGACTGTTGGAAGAGGGGAGGCTCCGGTAGCTTCACTTCTGAAGCGCAGCCATACAAAAGTAGAAGAAATTTGATATGATATGTGAGATTGCCAGGAAATTAATCAATGACTTTCGCAAAAAGTTTTCTTTACAAGGCATTTTACACTTCTCTAGTGTGGGTAGTGTGAGCAAAAGGAACAATTTGGGAACTAGGGAACTGTGCCACAACTGGTTTGCTCCCTGTCTCATATAGTAAGAATTGTGTGAAAACAATATAAGCAATAAGCTCAAAAGTGGCAGCGAAAGTTAAGAAAAATAGAAATGTATTTAACCCAACAGAAGCAGGCAACAAAAGCGTTTCTGTGAAATCATTGTTCCTTTGTTTTCTCTCAACTCTTTAAATCTTGTATTTACCCTCTTTAATCTTTTGAAAAAAAACAACACCAAAACCACCAAAAGACAAACAAACGCAACAACCCAAAAAAGCAGCTGCAGACTTCATATCCCCAGAAGTGATTTGTGATTACTGGAGTTATACAGCATGATAGTAAGGAAAATTTTTCTTCCTCTCTAACAATCTTACATGTCTTTTTAAAGCTGCTTCCCTCCCTTTCGTATTCCAGCAGACAGAGAACTTTCCTTTGTGATTGAGAGTTTCTGGTATGTGTTTCTGTGACATGTTGGAGTAGATGTGATGGGTTGTGGAGCAGTCGTTCCCACTTCAGCCGTCTCTTCTAAATCCCAGACTGTTGCCTTGGTCTTTGTAATGTCACTTGAAGAGCTTCAGGATAACTTGAGAGGATTTGCTGTTCTCTCTCAGATGTGAATGTTGAAAACTTCTACTGGTATAGTTCTCTGCTCTTTGTCCTCAGTTCCTTTAATCAGGAGCTGTGTGGAAAAAGATCTTGCAGTAATTCCACTGAAATTGCATGTTTGTTCAGCAATTACCTATTTTTTTTTTCTAACGTTAATCTCCACTTTAAGTGAAAAATTGTGGAAACAGGTTCAACATGTTTTACAGGTTCACTTAGTGCTTAATTTTATTGGATAGTGTGGGTAGTACAGGATATATGTAACTTAATTTTTCAAAAACAGATGCAAAGGGAAAGAATTGAAAGAGGTAGTTACCTGCTGAGCTGGGTATTTGACTCATCAAGTATCTCAGATTCTCAGCTTGATTTTTTTTTTATTTATTTTTAAACTTTGGTAGACTAAATACTGTCAGTAAAGATAGATAATGGCCTCACTTGAATCCACTGAAATACACAGAAGTACATTTTCAGTTTCTTCTAAGTCTTGTCTCCTGATGCAGGCAGCTGTGCTCTGTCCTCTCTCAACAGCTGACTTCCCAGCTACCGAGCTCACTCAGTTTTAGAGGACCTTGATCTCAAAAGTGGGAGGTTCTTGAGAGCTTTAAAAGCATGAGCACCTGGGAATAAAAGAGAGAACCCTACTAATAACCTGAGGAGAGAAGCTATAGCATGAGCTCACTGAGCTGTGCTAGACAGAAGAGCATGCGCACAGGGCAGAAGTCAGGCAACTTTGATCAGAGTTTGGCATTTATTAGATACTAGGACTCTGGCTGTGCAACAGTGTCAAAGGAAACTAGGTCTTACTGGGTTTACAGGTCATAAAACTATTCATTTCACCTTACTGTAGTCCCAGAATAGTTTCGTATAGCTTTTAGCCATTGTTGGATGGAGAATGCTCTCTGTAGGCCTTTTATCTGATTCAGGGCAGCTGTTCTTATGTTGGATAGAGACTTATGACATTATAGGGATATTTTTTTTTATATAATTTGCTAAATGGTTTAACAGACGGTGGCTCTCTTTAAACTGAAGAAACACTTGTGCCATGGCATTGAGCTTAGTTCTTACAATAGGTTGTATTATATCTTGTTTTCAGATCATGTTTCTTCTTTCAGTAGATGTGACTTCTGGATCAAACACTTGTGTTTTATCTGAGGAGGCACTTCCTCTCTAGCAGGCAAAGAGCAGAATTTGGTAATTCTCCCATCTTTGCGTGTTAGAAAACAAAATCTTTTTGGTCCATTTTGTTCCACATACTTAAGGCTTTTAGCAGGAAGAAAGAATGTAAAAGGCAGTGATCATATTACTCCACAGTCACGCTTAACAAGGAACACAAGAGAGGGTGCAAACACTAAAAATACAGCCATGCTCTGCAGTTCTCCATTTCAAACTCCTTTTGTGCAGCCATGTGTGAGAAATTCAAATCCAGAACGTTTTGCATTCTTAATGTCACCTCGGTTTACTTCCTCTATTACAGGCTTCCAAGCAGTTCTGTTTTGATCTTACCATCCTTTTTCCATAGAAATCTACCCATCTGGTTAAGAATTCATGCAAAAATGGGAATCCAAGGCTTAGGGCAGAGGGTCTCCCAAAATTTATGTGTATTACTTCCCTCTCTTCCTTCACTGCCACCAGTTAGATCGGGCCTCCTTCAGTCTTCCTGCTGTTTCCCTGCAGAAGCAATTTAGAATTTTTAATGCTGGTCAATGTTAGAAAAGGTCTTGGAAAATAAAAAAAATCCACAAAATACATCTTATTTATATGTTCCAGTTAAAAACCAAAATACTTGTGGCAGTGTGGAAGGGACTGTGAGAGGTTGTTTGTTTATCCTTTTGTCATGTAATCCTTATGAAGAATGCTTTCTCTGCCGGGAGATAACTTGTTCTAACTTGTTCTTTAAAACCTATTGTGATTACACAGATTTTTGAAGTCCCTCCCAAGAAATGTATTTCAATGCTCCAGTTGTTACCTCTAGCAAAAAGGTCTGCTTTTTCTTCCCCTCTTGTCCCCACCTGCCAAGCATCAGCAAATTTCTCACACTTAAGTAGGCTGGGAGTGAGGGGGCTGTTGATGGAAACATGATGGAAGGTGCAAGACAAGGGAGTCGGTTCAGTGCATCCATGCTTTGTGCTATTTTCTATTCAGTTATGACTGCTGTTCCTCAATTATTAATGTCATACACGCTGCATTCTTTCCCTTCCATTTAGGTTGGTCTCACTTCTGCAGTCTCTCTGCTATCCTGTTGCAATGCAGAGTAGTTCAAAAAAGCATCTCCAAAGGCAACTACTGATTGATCATCTGCTAGACCTTCTGCTCTTAGAGTCAGAGTAAAAGCAGTTTAGGAGCGAGTGGCATAGTGCTGTGTCTCTGCAGTCCCGAATAAAGCTTGAGGTGTTTGTCATGCTGTCAGCCTTGGAAGTCCCTGCAGAGTGAGCTTGTGACTGGCTCTAAAGTAGTGGTAGCGGAGAGGAAAGGAAGGAGAACCAAAAGGATGGTACAAGTGGTGGCGTGGGAGCACCCTTGGCAGTTTTCAGTAAAAAGCTGAACTTGGAGTCTGAAAGAGGGAGCCAATGTATAA